TGCGCTCAAGGAAAAGATTAAACTGATACACAGAAACAAAATCGAATATTAAAGAAGGAAGAAAAGTTTCTTATGATTCGAAGACAGCGACATAAAAACAGAGAAGAATATAGAAAAGAGAATTTCAGGAAAGACTGACACTTTAATAGGAGAGAGAGGAAAGAAAAGGAAAAAAGAAAGAAATTGCTTAATATTTGAGGTAAAAAAAAAAAGAACTTGAAGCAAAAAATGGTGAGTAATGGAGTAGAAGAGAGCATGGAACGTTTAGAAAGAAGGAAAAGAAGAAAACAAAAAGGAAAGAAGAAGACGAAGACAAAGGAAGAAGACAGAAAAAGAAATTGACGAAGAAGAAGGAATAAGCATTAGAAGGAGAAAAGACAAAAAAGAAAGAAAAAAATTATACGAAGAAGAAACAGAACGAAATTTACGAAGGTGAAAGTAAATAGACGAAGAAGAATGAAAAATAAATAGATGAAGAAAAAAGAGAACGAAACAGACGAAGAAGAAAGAAAAAGACACAGATGAATAAGAAAGAAAAAGACATAGATGATAAAAAGGAAAAAGAAACAGAAGAAAGAAAAAGAAACTGATGATGAAGAAGGAAAATATAACAGACAAAGAAGAAGGAAAAAAGAAATAGACGAGGAAGAAAGAAAAAGGAATAAACAATGAAGAAGAGAGAAAAAGAAGTAGACGAAGAAGAAGGAAAAAGAAAAGACGAAACAGAAGGAAAAAGAAATAGACGAGGAAGAAAGAAAAAGAAAAGACGAAACAGAAGGAAAAAGAAATAGACGAGGAAGAAAGAAAAAGAAGTAGTCGAAGAAGATGACAAAAGCAATGAAACTAAGAAGATTGTTGAAAATGAAAACCGAAAGACAACTTTGAGTAATGTGCTTCCACTGTTAACCATTTTAGCAGAAACACTATCCATTTTGTCTGAAAATGGCATTCTGCTATTAATAATGGTAAGGTTAGTACAGATTTTATTATAAGATATAATCAATCTTAGTGTTATTAAATCTTTTATGTACTCATCGTATTGAGTCCTTAAGATTCATTTAAAAACATTAGTTAACGATTGTCATTGTTTATCGTACATCAAAAACGTGTATGAGAGCGGGACGGCTTTTGTTGCTGTTGGACACACGGTAGTGTGTACGAAACTCTTGGGGATTCCCAAGTGGTTAGAATTTCACAATATTTACTCAGGATTGAAATAAAAACATACTAAAATCTGAACGATAACAAACAGAGCGAAGTGGCAAACGTCGAAGTGAAGAAGAAACGGTAAGAAATGAATGAAGGAGAAAAGAAAGAAAATTAACGTTTTAAACAGTTGAAAGTCAACCAAGAAGTGTAAAAAAAAAAGCAAAAGAATGAAAACAAACGAAAAAAGAAGAAGAAAGGAAACTTGATAAGAAATGAAAACAAATGAAAGCAAAAATGAAGCCGAAAAAAAAGGGGGGGAAAAGTCACTGACCGAGGACGGAGGTCGTAGCGGAGTTTCCTGGTATCTTTCGATTGATGTCGTTGAGCAAGACAGCATAAGCAAGCAGCGTGGTAGTGGCTAGCATTAACTTTTCTCCGGACATGACAGGTACCACGTGGGCGGCCAAATTAAGCAGAGCCAATAGTACAAATGGGATGTAAGTAGACACCAAGTGGAAGGTGCGACGCCTCTTCAATTTCAAAGTGAATGCCGCATGGCTGTAGTATCTTTGGTCATCGCCTTTGGATGTGTGAGTTGACTTGAAACTGCCGGTCAGGGTTTTTTCCACCTCCCATTCATTGTTATTCACAAAATGATCAAATTCTGCAAATAGATAAAATAATACAATATAAAGTAATAAACAGAAAAAAAAAATAGATCGCTTTTTTATGCACATCTAATGAAATAAAAGGTCATCCACCATCGACCTGTAAATTATTCTCAACTCCTATATTGTTATATATTCCTATATTAAGAGATTATTTTTGTATTCCTGAATTATCAGTTTTCATATATATTCAATATATATGTATATATCTTCAACCACACGTAACTTCAGTTTAAGAAATATCCGTGCCAACATTGTGTCAAGATTACTCGACAACCAACCTTGCTATTTTCCTTCACTTAATTCTTTTCGAAATAAAGCGACCATTCAAAACTTCAAGAGTTTAACATATCTAACCTATTTTTGAAACCTGTTGTCTTACATTTCACAGAAAATAATCTTTGCAACTAATTTTCAATGATCGATTTCGATATTTTGAATGTCACTAATGTAAATGTTAATTTACATTTAGATAGTGAAGAGTTAGACTCGGTGGAAACAGGAAGAACAAGACGAGATATCCTTAGACATGGACAACAGAGTGAGTAGCACCGGAGGTTAAATAAATGGTTCAGTTCGAAATTCTCTGGAAGTTACTCGTTTCGACATAGAAGGCTGGAAGATAAACGGCCGAAACGCTGTGAGAAAAACGAAATTTTAACCTTCTAATGACCACCGTAAATTTTTTTTAATTAAAATAAAAATCCGATGTTATTAGTTTTATCGAGATTCTGCATATGTGCAGGTGGTTTTGTGAGAAAATGAAATAAAACCAATAGATAAAATAATAATAAAGATTAAAAAATAAATTTATTTTCCCATGATGCAAGTTATAATGAAAGGATTTCTGGTCACGTGTGATTTTATGATTTCACCTCCAGAAAGGATACAATCTTTCTCTTTCCAACGAAATCATTCGAACGTGTTTTCAGCGGCCCTACTCATGAAATAGACATTCGGTCATCCCAACTCAGCACGCGGCTGACTTGACCATTTTTACCCGTTCTTATCCTTACTTCCTGTAAATAATTCTGACCCCAAAAAGGAAAACGGACATAATCAATAGATATTTAACTTTGTTTCAATACAATCAAAATAAAAGAAATAAGTTTTTTTGTGAATCTTCTATTTTCTTTGTTTATATATTGAGCACGCACCTTCATCTAAATATACACACAAAACCCACAACCTTGTTAACACCCAGTGTAATAGAGAGCGGCGAGTTCGTTACATTCACTTACGCGCCATTAAAAAGAGAATCTCTCTCCCTTCAGCTATGGGTTAATAGTAGAAGAGACTGGGTTCTTAATCCTAGATTGGAAACTAGTCTAAGAGAAGACAACTCTGAATTCCAAAACTGTATGTAACTCTGGCGATATACCGCTAATGAAAGGAACGTGGAGTTCACAATGACTCTGATCTCGACTGCGGTCAGTCTTCTTTGATTGTTTAAATTCCGGTAATAATATTCGGTTTATAAATAACCGTTAGGTTTCTATCTATAACACAAACCCCACCGTCTCAAAAATGGGACGGTAGGCATGAAGAGGTTAATGTGCTGTTTATGATCTATGCTGCTTATGGAGAATGCTGATTAAAAGCAATCAAACTAATCAGAAAATGAATAATGTTGACAATCCTTCACGTAAGAAATTCGAAGACTAAAGCTGAAGATATTGACGTTTTTATAAACAAATATTGATCACCTAAAGTAAAACACTAAAGAGAAAAGCATCTGTCACTTCTCTGATAGAATGTTGAAGTAATTAGAGAAACAAAGCGATTGACAAGTTTATGGCTAATCGTTATTGCAGTTTCTAATGTCAGAGTCAAAATCATTTTATTACATCGAAGGACAAAAAAGTTGTGAGGACTTAGAAAGTGTACAATTTTATTAGATTTACGGAAAGTCAATTTCATATTCATGCGCAACAAAGAGCTCGTGGAAAGTTTTGCCAATGATGACGCTGATGCTTTTTATAAAATAAAAATAACCACAAATATGGCGTTATTGAAGACGACAACATCCCTCCCCCCAACAAAAAAAAAAAAATGTTAAAAATGTCTCGGTCTGATCTATTCTTCCAAATCAGTTTTCTGTTTGGTTATTGAAATATTAATTTTTGGATGTGGTCGAGACGAGAACTTTTCAGCAAACTGTCGATGTAAAAATAAAATGAATCAAGGAAGAAGAAGATGATAATGATTTTGATGATGATAATTTTACTCTAGAAAATAACAATGATTGATAATGCAATAGTGATAATGAAAGTTATTCTGAAATGTCAAATGATGTGAATAATATGTTTTTCTTATGAAACAAAATCGTTGGAAAACAATGAAAAACACCAACAGGGAAAATAAACAAAAACAACTTACAAGGCATTAAGACATGAAGTAATTTTTGAAGCCATCCTGTTCTCTGATTAATTAAAGGGATCAATATCCTGATCGAAGAAGGGTGTGGCTAAAAGGAAATGATCAATCGAATATTTTTGTATTGAAATCGATAGGCAAATTTATTGAGTTGCACCTGTAGTTTAGTAAGCATTCACTTCCGAGAATCGAGTAGAATGCGTAGCTGTACCGAGTCGTAGATTTTATCATCGGCCTTTTGTAGAAGACGACATGTTATTCTATTCTTGATCAGCCAAGTTTTCTGACAGCACTAATTACAATACATTTGTCTTAATCAGTTCACCCCAAGCAAGGCGATAATGCCACTAGGACGCAGAGAATTACAGAGAATGAAAGAGAATGAGAAGACGTGAGGAAAAGAACAATAAACGAATAGAATTTAGGAAGACAGAAGATGGCGATTGACGTTGCATTTATTTTCTAAATATTGTAGGTGGCGAGGGAGCATGAAATCTGGAGTTTTATAGACGAGACTTTAGAGAAAAAACTATTAAAATAGAACTAACGGTTGAATTTAGTAACAGTAAAAAGGTGAGACCTAATTGCCAATGTAGTAGAACGCGTAAATTCATGCAGGTGAGGTACAAGGGAGAACAGCTCATCAGAAAAGTTGCCATGAAAATATTTGTCGAAAAGAAAGAGGGAGACCGCATCATGTCGATGGGAAAGTGAGTGAAGTCAAGATGCTAAGTCAGGATCAATTACATTAGAGACTCTTCTCGGAATTTTGTCGTGGATCTATAGATATATAGAAGGAGCAGTAGACCAGATATGGCTGCAGTATTCTACACACGGACGAATGGTAGATTTATAAATGTGCAAAACAGATTCTGACAAGAAGGATTATTTGGCACGACACACGGAACCAACTTTTCTAATACCACAGCTAGCAATTGATTCAATATAATAATTCCACTTTATGTCAAAGTGTTGCTCTCCTAGAGTTTAGCCTCAGCCATGCTGATGGCAAACAGAAAGTGTTTTGTAGTGATTACATGAAAGTCGTTTATATTTGCATGACGCAAATTTCTAGCGAAACTTGTGAATACCGCAAAGTATCCAGTTCTCTTTTCGCTATAGACTGTGTTGAAAAATATTTGTATTGTAAGGATCATGATTAACTGATTCATTTGTTATACTCTATTAAGTGAAATCTAACTGATGTGTAGAAGATCATATTCTGGCTATTCTCCCAACACGATCACTCATTGCAACTGACACTGGTCTTTAGCATGGCTGCCGATAAGAATCAAAGTAAGATTATTTGAGATGTGGTTTATTATGATTTTACAACACCTCTAATGGTTTACGGCCATATCACATTGAAACTCCAGTTCTCGTTAAGCAACATTGAGCCTGGTCAGTACCTAGATGGGTGACCACTTGAGAATACTGAGTGATGTAAAATCGGATATAAAGCCTCGGAATTGAAAATCGGAGAACCGAGTTCCAATCCAGTCGGGTTTGTTATATTAAGTTATGCACAAATATTCTTGGTGGTGATATGAATCCACCTCTTCTCCCCCCATCTATGGGTTAATTAGTAGAACTTGTATCAGTAAAACTCCAAAAGTATTATAATCTAAAAAATATTGAATTTACATTCGGACCTATTCTTTGTTATCACAACGTTTTGGCTGTTGTGCTCTCCGGCCATCCCCATGTGTATATTTCCTGGCTTTAAATAACTCGCAAAAGGTTGAGTAGCTGTAAAAAAAACAAAAAAACAATTCAAACTACTCAATAACACAGGTGATACTAAAACCTTAGGTCTATATTATCAGGTAGACAGACTTTTTTCTTGTTCTGTTTTTTATAATAAGGTTTTCGAGGAAAGAAAGATACTGCGTGTACCGGTATGGACCGAACATAAAACCTTCCCCTTGTCATCAAATAGCTTCGTTACTCTTTTCTATATTTAGTTGATCAATAGAATAAACAAGACAACAGGGGATAAACCTAGACCAGGAGTAATAATTGAAGCAATTAAGTTTCTAATACACGACAAAAACTCCAACGAACACTTTCTAACACAATATTCATGCATGAAACATCTCTTTTGCACTCAGCCATCTATGAAGTGGTGTTGAAAAGTCCTCAACCCTAGCCACTGCCCAAAATAAAACCAAACGACCGAAAATAAAAATACTGAAGGAATCATTTCATCCTTAGGCCTACAACTATACAGCACTCCGTGTATCATCATCATCATCATGGCTTGGCTTTGCAAAACGAATATATAAACGAATATATATATATATATATATATATATATAGAGAGAGAGAGAGAGAGAGAGACTATTCACGTCGA